TGAGTTTAATATTTTTAATCCTTGTTCAGCTCTTACTATATGCCAGGCATTGTTCCAAGTATCTACCCACTGAAGGAGATCTTATTCCCTTTTTATAAATGAAGAAATTGAAGCTAAGGAATTTAAATTTGGTCTATTTCTATTATGTTTATAACAGTGTAGTACTTGACATACAGTAGTCTATGTATGTTACATGTTAGTTAGGGCAACCAGCTAAAAAGTGGAGCAGCCCAGGCTGAGTCTGGGCCTGTGTTAAGCCTTTGTTGTTAACTACAGTGCTAGTCTCCATGTATCTTTTTTTCCCCCCATGTATCTTATAACACTTTATATTTAAGGAAACTGTGTTAGAGGTATCTACAGGTTTGCTTAAAAATGTCTTTTGGTCTTCTTTTCTCTAGATTGTACGGACAGATCTGAAAGAGTTAAGAGATTTCAATTTGGATGGTGCTCCTTATGGTTATACTCCTTTCTGTGAAAGTCGAAGAGAAATGGATGGCTACAGATTCTGGAAGTCGGGCTACTGGGCCAGCCATTTAGCTGGGCGAAAGTATCATATCAGGTACTGAATGAGGAGTGCTGGAAGTCATTCTCTGGGTTTTCCAGGTTTCTAAATAGCCAAAAGGCCATTGAAATAAGAGACCAATTGCTAATTATGATTCTGCTATGAGTGCCATGTCTTTGTGATGACAGTGTACACACACCAGACAGTGGCAGAGCATCGGCGCATGGAAAGTAGCTTTATTGCTTACAACAAGAAGCTGATGGCGGAGAACAGACTCGTGGTCCAGCTCAAAAGCTGACTAGGCAGAGATGGAGCACTTCTTTATGTACCCTACTTTATCCTGTCAATGAAGGACTCAAAGGTCCTTTCTTACATTGGTCCTCCCAGACTAGCTTGGCTTGAGAACATCTGACATGGTTTCACCTAATAGCGTAACTGAGAGACAGAAAATCTCTTAGCCATTTTTCTACCCCAAAGACTCTGTGACCCATGACATGCCCTCCTGACCATCTGATGC